AAATGTCGTAGAACCGTCAATTCAACTTACTGATAAACGACAGATCATCCGAGTAGAAGATGTAGGTGGCGAATAGGACCGGAAACGCCGCCGAAGCAATTGAAACAGTCACTTGTAACGCCGCGTTGCGCACTAATAGACGTTGTAATTTGTAGGTTTGCGCACTAATTATTGGGCGTTGCGCGCCGAGTACCTGCTGGGCTGACGTCGCGATACCTGGCCGGAAATTTTGGAATATCATGGAAAAGACCTACACACGGCGCAACCAAGCAAGAAGGCCACCCAAAATATGATATTACAAAAGGCAAAATTTGCATAACTAGGCATGAAGGCCACAAAGGTATCAATGTCGATTATTGAGCCAAGTGATGGGTACAACTAAAAAAATATTGTCTCTTTCACATGGAGTTACGTTTTTAAAAAAATTCCGATTTGCCGCCATATCAGTTTTGCTCCAGCAATACCCAAAGACAAAGCCGAATTGGGCGTATGGTAGGATTTGGAGTGTGACAAACAGCAAGTTGGCTGCCCTTAAAAGTGTTACGATTATTGTGTATGTTGCAGGAAAATAACGTCCTTTCTATTAAATATATACACAGGATTTACTAACGTTATACCAAAATTTGATTATGCAGAAATCCATTACGCCGAAAATCCATTATGCAGAAAACCATTACGTAGAAACCCATTATAACGAAATTTTTCAATACACAGAAGTGTCAATACGCAGAAATCCGTTACGCAGAAAACCGTTATACAGAAAAAGCATAACGCAGAAATTCATTACATAGAAAATTCATTACGCAGAAGACCATGGCACCGAAATTTCCGTACACGGAAAAATTCTCTGGCGAAATTTTCAGAGTTGATGACATGGCATGTAACGCAACAAAATTCAATGATTCATGTAATCAATGAAAGTTAGCGAACGGGGCTGGGAGAAAGTATTCAAAATTTCTTTCAAGAAATCGAGAGAGGAGGATGAGAATCGGGGATCTCGCACAATTTTCTAACTGCTAAGACCATTTGACTAGGTAACTGAAAGTTTCTATGTAACGCCTTTCTGCGTAATGGATTTTCTGCGTAGTGGTTTTCTGCGTATTGGGGTTTCGGTATAGTGGGATTTCGGTGTAATGTAATTCTACGTAATGGATTTCGATGTAATGAACTTGCGCTATAACGAGTTTCTACATAACGGATTTTCTGCTTATTGTCTTTCTGCGTAATGGGTTTCTGCGTATTGAAATTTCGGGATAATGTTAACGTCCTGTCTATTAAATATATACACAGCAGTTACTGATTCGGTTGATTTTTATGGATTAACCTACCAGAATCTTAGCTTGAGCGGATGATTTTGTGGTAATATCATGAAATAGCGATGCAGAAACATCACCAAAATCAGGTTGAGCGTGTGCACGAAGATGGCAAAGGCGAGCGTCTAAAGCCCACATAGGTCGTTGGGGTTTTTCGATTTTAAGGGCCAGAAGCGCCGTGGATTAGGCATATTTCGATAGACACGACACAAAATCAAAATGGCCAAAAACATTTGTCTGAAGAAATCGCCTCTTCTAGGGATCCGGGGAAAGCCCTGATTTTGAAACCGTTTTCAAAACCCACAGATTTTGAAACCGCGAGAAATTTGAAAATTTTGATTTTTAAAATTTTGTACTGGTCGGTATTGTTTTATTATTTTTATTTATTGTTTTAAAACAGATAGCAAAGATACGCATCTCACATGAATCCACCTTTTGCGCCGCTTTGGACATAAACCCCAAAATAAATACCGAACTGTGAAAACTTGAAGTTTTTCTCGCCTTTTCGAGAGCTTTCGATAGGCAACTAAAGCATGAAAATTGGACATTTGTTTGGTCCTCTACAGGGGTATGCTTTTTCCGGCGCGCTGTATCGAGACTATCGAGACCTAGTCTACGCAGAGGTCGGTTCTCGCCTTGTTCCTCGCTTTAAAAGGATAGCGTCAGCTTAAAAGGCCGTCCGCGAGTCACTAGAACAGCTTGGCACAGTTTTCTTGGGCCCCTATTTTTTGATGCCTTTTGATAGAGCATGATCGAATTAGAAGGATCGCACTAATTTGGGATTTTTAAATTTGCTAAACAAGGCGTTAAAGTTGGCAACGTCGGAAATTTATCTCGACGACCGCTTGACAGAATTGGCTGAAACTTTGTGACTAGGCTTAATTTAGATGAGGATCACCTTTCTAATACATCGCGAAGTACGAAAATGAGCAGAAATTTTCCATTTTAGTCAGATTTTTAGTTCATTTTTCAGCTACAAAAAGCTCTTTCTGAAAAAACGGCGACCTGGCCGCCACCGAAACGATACATCAATCGATGCAAAATAATTTTGCGCATCTTTCTAGCCTAATTCCAGCTTGCGGCCGACTCGCAGTTAATTTTAAATTCCACAAAAACTATTTTAAGTATCCAATTTAACTAGGTTCTGTTCATTTTCGTACTTCACAATGTATTAGAAAAGTGATCCTCATCCCAAATTGGCCTAGTCACAAAGTTTCAGCCAATTCTGTCAAGCGGTCGTCAAAATAAGTTTCCGACGTTGACAACTCGCCTCGTTCGACCAGGAAGATGCTACTTTAAAAACCCCCGATTTAGTGCGATTCCGCTAATTCGATCATGCTCTATCAAATGGCATCAAAAAAATAGGGGTCCAAAAAAACTGTTCCAAGCCTCGTTCGGGCCTCTCGCAACGGCGCTCCGTGAACCCACAATCTGGATGATAGTCGGAACGCCGACCCTCCACAACCATCCCATAGGCATCCCGCCGAACATTGGAAGGTATAGGGCTGGAGCCATGGCCGAACCCAACAAGAAATCGGTGATGGTTGCCACTACCTGAATTGGTTGGAGCTGTAGTGCAACTTTATTAAATTAAAAAAATACGTTGATACCTCACGAATATGGGCCACACCTTACTTTACCTTCCCCAGCCGGCATGTTTTGGCTCGAACTTTTTTATTTTACAGTATTGTTGGCTCAAATTAAACCCCTTAGTATATTTTTTGACGCTCTATTGAATGGCGTTGCAAAAATCCCGACAAAACCAGCGAAAACACCGAAAACTGTGGACCCTTCGGCTGTCGGGGTGGGGTAAAGTAAAGGGTTCTTGCGTATTCCGGGGGGGAGGGGAAAGATTCGCGGGGGGGAAACGGACTTTTTTGCCCCAAGCCTAGATTTTTTATATAAATAATGGAAGTGTTTCTAAATTGTTTATAGCTATTCTTAAACATAAAAACTTTACAAAATTTAATAAAAATTTAATTTTAGGTCGAAAAATCGATTTTTTCGGCCCAAAAATGACCAAATTTTCGACTTTTTCACGTGTTTTTCTAACTTTCTAAAAAGTTTTTCCGATTTAAATAGGCTTAAATTATGCTGAAAACAATTTGAAAACACTTTAGATTTGATTACTATGCCCACCAGGGCCGACAGAAAAAGTTGGTTCCCCCGGGAATACACAAGAACCACGTAAAGTCTTAACCGAATATGTAATAAACGCACCTGATATGCAGTCATCAGCCTGCCTAGCGCCCTCATCGGGACTGGAGTGTAAAATACGATTGCGTACAATCCGAACAAGTTGACGAGCAGTCCGATCACTAAACTAGGGACTGGATCTAGTCCATTTTTCTAAGCTAGTTCTTCCCAAAAATTTTTTATTTCTGTTTTTCTTAGCGTTAAATTTCTAGTTATTTGGCAACCTTTTTTTAAAGTTGGTTTGAAGTGTGGTAGAATTACGATATGAGCCTGAGTTTTCGAAAAATAATTTGCCAATTGTAACTTAAACGGATTCTGACATAAAAACAATGCCAGCCGATTAGCTCATTCGGGGTTTTCAAGCAGTACTGTAGTAAGTTGCAGTACTCTTGGAAACGTACTCGCAAAACCCCGCATAAAATCGAAGATCCACCGCTCGTCCTCCACGGAATATTGAGCAAGAGCCTCGGTAGCCATTTAGATTATCTGAGCGTTCCCTAAACCTCTACTACTTGCAGAACCGGTGGTGAAGCTTTTCGAAAAACGCTTTTCCAGCTGTCATTGGCATTAAGAAACGGGAGAGCCATTTTTATTATTGATCCTGAAGTCGGACAGCTGCATTCCATGCTACGTCTTTTGTTGAATACCGTCTGTTATTTTCCGTCTGGAGCAGAAGGTTCAAACTAAAGGCGCTGGAAAATCAAGAATAAAATTGGAAATCGTTTAATTAAGATTGATAAAATCAACAATTAGTGAAGCACTAAGGGGTTTCCGGTATACCCTGGGTTCAAATCCATAAAGATTTATTTCAAAAACCAGCGCCCAAAACCCGCTTCGCGGGCCTTGGGCGCTGGAATTGGGCCTTTGCATGAAAAATTTGACTTTCCGATAGCTCGGGTCCTTCGGACCCCTTCCCCCACCGTCCACACACGCGCGGGCCAATTGCAAGAATGAGGAAATTTGTATTTTTTTCATATTATGCAAATTACCCCCAAAAATGAATAAAACCGGCTTTAACTTTGTAAACTTGTATTTTATCGAAATTCTGAAAACGTCATCCGAAAGAGGAGGGTCGATTCTCCCGGGTGGCAAAAAATCAGCGCATTTTGGACACGGGAAGGCCCTCAAATCGGGCCTCGAAAGTGACATCCACACACACACACAGAGATACACTCCAAAATTATATAAGGTAGGATCTATTTATTCACCAAGTTCTACTGTAATAATTAAAATACTGGGCGGTCTCGTGCTCATGGTCCGGGGAGGTCACTTCGATCGGCGTCTCGACGCGCGCCTTGATGATGAAGATTCTCAAGATTTTGAGATAGCGCTTTCTCCACTCCTTGACGGAGTACATCGCCACACCGAGGAACATGATCCCAAAACTGTAAGTCCCAATTAAAAAATAAGCGTCGAGAGATAGATAGATAGAGAGAGAGAGAGAGAGAGAGAGAGAGAGAGAGAGAGAAAGAGAAAACGAAGGACCACTTACACAGTAACCCAGTGCTCAAAGATAGCACCAGCAATCAGCGTCTCGAGTGTTGGCGTTTTCGACCCAAGCACCGAGATCATGACCAAGCTGGCACCGAAGAAATCGGCGCAAATCGACAAGAGCAGGAAGTATCGGACTAACTAAATTTACCATAGACACTCACGCTCGTGAAAAGTGATACCTTAAAACATTTGATATTCTCGGCAGCTTGGTATTTAGCGGATAGGCCATAGCTGGAGCTCCCGATTTCCAGGTTCGAAAGCGTTATCGAATTCTGGCGTGCAACTAGGCGATAGGTCTAAATGGGATGAAAACGTACTTTCTAACTTACTTACCAAAACAAAACCGAAAATCCCGCCCAAGCAAAGGGGCACACCAACAAACATGAAGACGTCGCGGATCAGGAGCACACCTTTGAGATTTATTAGATTGGGCGTAAAGACGATATTACTTACAAATCGCCATCATTAATGCGGCAATCGTCGACACGACAAGTGCCACTCCAAGAATCGACGTTGAGATCCATGTCCTTGAGTTCCGCTCGTAGTCCCACATGAAATGCATGGCAAACATTCTGGAACAGCGAATATTTCTCGATTTCTACCTCTCTCGTTGTCTCTGCCTCTCTCTGTCTCTATCTCCCTCGCTCTCGCTCTCTGTCTCTCTCTCGCTCACTCTCACTCTCTCTCTCTCTCTGACCTACCTTTCCGCGATGATCATCGGAAAAATCCAAAACAAAAAAGCCATCTGTTCCAACATCGCAAGACCAGCCCAGACGAGTGGGAGGTCAGCAATGACGTCTCCTAAAATCAGATGAACAAGGCTTCAGCTAGTCCTTGGGTTAATTTACCTGTCCTCGTCACCACCTCGAACTCGTAGAGCATCATGATAAATCGCATCACCATCGTCAAAAACGTGTGCAAGACGGTGACGAAGATGATTCGACGAAGGTTTATGTGAAAAATTGGGCACGTGCAGACGACGTAGAAGAATGGGAGATAGGCGAGACATGTGAGGATTAGGAAGATGACTTCGATTACCGTAGTCACGCTCAGGATTTGGAGGAGAAGCGGGAATTTCTGAAACAGAACTTTGAGAGAGAGAGAGAACGAGAGAGAGCGAGCGAGAGCGAGCGAGAGTTAGAGAGAGAGAAAGGAGAGACAGATAGTGAGAGATAGAGCGAGAGAGGGTGAGAGCGAGAGAGGGTGAGAGAGAAACTGTACTTACCTTCAACGCATCCAACTCGATGAGCAGCGTCGATAGGAATCTGATGTTCACCCCGCATATCTCCACCTCGTAGATTAAACCGGGTATCATTTGATAGAGAGGTAAAAGATCTTTGCCTTTAATATCAGAATCGACAAAACCTTTTTCAGCGTTGATTCTGAAGCTAACCGAGTCGCCTTTGCCGCCGCATTTCACCTGGCCGTCGGGGTTGATCGCCGGGGGCAATCTGTGTTCAGAATTCTTGATGACGTTTTTTCACGCGTTTCTTCGGAATTTTGGAAGTTGTAGTGAGCAGTTGGGGTCGTGCAGTTTGCAAGAAGGAAAGTATGCTTTTCGAGCGCCGGAACAACGCCAGGCGCAAAAGGGTAGATGGATTTGGCGTCTTCTTTTGAGTTTTATAAACGTACGCTATTAAGTTTCGCTTCGCTATTAAAGGGCACGTTCAGGGACGTTTTTTTGGAAAAAGCAAAGATTTTTGCCGCGGCCGGGGGTCGAACCCGAGCCCCCCGCTCGGGAAGCGCGGATGGATACCAGTCAGCCACAGCTACAACCTGGCGAGGGGGTGAGGGGCGCCCCACGCCGCAAAGGAGGGGAATGGCCTGGCACGGCACGAGCAGGCGTTGCGCGCGGTCCCTACGTCCATAGGGTGTACACGTTGGGCCGAGTACACGGCGCCTCACTGAACGTGCGCTTTAAGTACCTTCATAGGTTACCAGCAAAACTATTCTTGCTTTGTTGCTATATTTCAGTATGATCCTGCCCTCGTTAAAGCTGATAATCACATTGCAATAAAACTATTTATTAATAGCTTTTGCGCTTCGATTCCACTGTGATTCGAGCTGTTGGAAGTAGTCTTCTTGATTTGCGCCAGTGTAGAGAACCTCAAAAAAAATAGCCGATTTCAGTCTCTCTCTCTCTCTCTCTCTCTCTCTCTCTCTCTCTCTCTCTCTCTCTCTCTCTCTCTCTCTCTCTCTCTTTTTCTGAATCTCTCTTTTTCTCCTGGTCTCTCTCTATACCTGCTTCGAAAAATAGCCGCCTTACCTGTCCTCTTACATCCAACGCAAACACGGAAGGCGTAGTGTCCCGCACATCCATATACCGATACCGCAGGCTACACGGCCTGACGGTTAGCGACTATAACACCATTTCTTCTCTATCTTACCAAGTTTCCTTAATCTGTTGCTTCACTAGTTTTATCGACAGCGTTCTCACGTTTCGATTCGCAAAGATGTAGATGAACGTCATCGTCACGGAGTATCTGATAACTATCTATGTTTGGTATAACTTTCTAAGCTTCTAAGTGTTTGTTTGCCGGATTCTATTTTTATGACATCAAGATGGAGGTGTTCAGTGTATTTCCCGTTCCAACTTACATCGCGACATGTGCACTAATGGCGATGCCGACCCAGTTCTGCATCTGCGGATCTTGGGCGCGTCTATTTAGCAGGAAGAGGGATCCAAATATTAGGTTGTTGACGCCCACGTAGCTGAGGACGAGGAGCAGGACCTGAAGAATCGAATAGAGAGAGAATGAGAAGGAGTGAGAGTGAGAGAGACAGAGAGGGGAATAAAGAGAGGGATGGTGAGAAAGAGAGAGAGAGAGAGAGAGAGACAGAGAGAGAGAGAGAGAGAGAGAGAGAAAGAGAGAGGGCCAATGCCCGGAGATACTCACATCCATCGCCTTCAAATTTTCTGTCAATTGGTAGCGATGGCTTAAGGTATACCCCAAGAGATACAGTAACCGATTCTGCTTCTCATTTATATACGTGATCACGAGAGCTAACTGAAAGGTTTTAATCAATTCAAGCGCTTAAAAGCTTTAAATTGTTCAAAGACTACGCACCACTCCGGTGATGACGGTCGCGATCAGTCCGATCCACGCGCAGATGCCAGGGCTTAGAAAATCTGCAGGAATATGCATAAAAATGACCCTAAAAAATTACTGAATGCGTACAGGATGCTGATGAAGAGGGCGAATATGACGCCGACGAAACGGAGGGCCTTGAAGAATTGGGGGTAGTAGCATGTTTCATATGTCGGTGCATTAACGGTAGCCACGATGCGTTCGATGAGGACGAAGAAGAATATGGCTGAAAATGTTAGCGTATCGTGCCGTATCGTATCGTAGCGTATTCTAAGGTATCGCATCGTACAGTGTCGTACTCTAGCATACCGTACCGTATCGTGTCATACTCTACCGTAACTTACATTATCGTATCGTCTAGTACCGTAACGTAACCCATCGTACCCAACCGTACCGCACCGTACGGTATCGTATCTTATCGTACCTTATCGTAAAGAGAGACAGAAAAAAAGAGAGATAGGGAGCGAGATAGCGAGAGAGAGGGGGAGAGAGAAAGACGGAGCGAAAAAGAGTCAGGTAGAGAAAGAGAGGGGTGAAAAAGAGAGAGCGAGAGAGAGAGCGAGAGAGAGAGAGAGAGAGAGAGAGAGATAGACTTACTTGGTACCATCACTATCATCGTTCCAAACAATAGCGATCCTGCTAGCATAGGAATGGGAGGATCTGCAAACATTTTCGCGTATTATTATTTGATAAAATACCTTCATAAATCTTCCCAAATTCGCCCACTTGCTCGTAATAGGCCAATACAAATCGAGATATACCAAAGCCATAAATTGTTCGTAAGGCCATAGCATAGAAGTTGCTGAGATTTTCTTGGAGCATCTGAAGAACTAGGGACTATTAAGACGCTGACTACAGTTACTGTTTGAAATCTGGTATCGATCGATAGATAAAATACAAATTTGCTTAGAATTACATCCTTATCCTGTGTTAAAGACTGCTAGAACTCTGGAACGCACACTGTCACCCCGAGGGTGCGGCCCCCAAGAATCTCTTCCCCACTTGGCCCAGTGGATAGCGCGTCGGACGGTGGAGCGAACCATCGCAGGTTCGACCCCCGCCCGGTGCGCAACCTTCCTGCTCTCAACGGAATTTGATCGTTCTGACGGTCTTTCAAGCAACACTGAAAACTGACCGTTTTACTGATATGCACCGAGAAATGCGTGATGAAGAAGCTGAACAGGAAAAGAATAAATTCGACTATGTAGCAGATCCAGACGAGCGGCACCAGCCCGTGCTCCCTAATGGCAGAGATGTTGACGAATATTAAAATTTGCGTCTCCATCTGTAGCCAAATCGAAATCTAAAAAGTTTATAGTAAAGCTGCACTGAAATAATTAAAAAATTTATTTATGTCCTGAAGACGAAAATTCAAAGGCTAAAAACGCAAATTCTATACGGGAAAGTAATTAATTACCATCTACAGACAAATCTAGAGTTAAAAGTGTATATTAGAGATAGCAAAAAATCATTCAAACGTGATTTGGAGGTCGCAAAAGCCCAAAACACGATAGTCTAGCCAATTCTGAGTCCGCGGGCCGCGCCGCCGAAAGCTCAAAAATTATTTTTTGCGCAAAAGCAACAGGGTACAATTAGTTGGAGGCGGATAATTACTAGCGTTCGACCGTGCTTGAAATTGCGAGCGACGTGGGAAAACAGGCGGCATAGCAAAAGTTGTATAAGGTGATGTACATGTGGTTCTGGAGGGAGCGGGAAGCTATGAGTCAGAACTTTGAGAGCTACCGAGCTCCTTTGGCTTAGCTCGTGACACGCGACGCAAACGCTACTCGGCGAGAAGTTATTCTTTACGAACTCATTACGAAATGGATTCATATTTTGTTAAGAAATTTTCTAGAGAAGTGAGGGCCGCGACACGCGACGCACCAGGTGCAGCGACGGTATTACGAAGGTTTTATCCATTACCAATGGCAGACAGAAGGCGTGCGTTTCGCGTCGCGGGCGGCCATATTTGAAGAAGAATTCATAGTTAACTAATGTAAACATATTTGCTATGGTATTCGCGGGTTGGTGGACCCTGGTTTGTTAAGAGGAACCTCAGCAGCTGTGACGGTTTCCCGGTTCAAATTACCGAAAGAACAAATTGTAGGATTCAGGTACATACCGTGAAATAAATTTTGTCGAAGAAAACGTGAAAAAGCCACTTTGAATGAATGATTGCGTGAAGCTAATTAGGCTAACGAGTCTCAAAAAAACAGCAAAGATCGCCCTCATTAACGGACTATCGACAGGTGTTTTATGCAGGATTTTTTGCTTGATTAAGGATGGGAGTTCACAGCCTGGACTTCTGGTCACTAAAAAAAATTACGGGTAGTGGCGTAGCTTAGCGCAAGCCTAAACTAAACCTAAGCTGAACTTAAGCTAAGCCTAAGCCAGGCCTAAGCTAAGTCTAAGCTAAGTCTAAGCTAAGCCTAAGCTAAGCCTAAGCTAAGCCTAGGCTAAGCCTAAGCTAAGGTTAAGCTAAGCCTAAGCTAAGCCTAAGCTAAGCTTGAGTTAAGCTAAAGCTAAGCCTACACCCAAGCAAAAGTTCAATCAAGCCGACAGAAAACCCAAAAATATATAAAAATCTTGGAGAAATGAAACGATAGGGCTCTTACCCTTGCGTCAAATTCTTTTAAGTGCATCGGAACATCGCCGACGCATTTTTCTGAACCGAGAAACGTTCCGAATTCCGAGAATCCAGCCTCAGGCGCGGGGGCATAATTTGTAGGCGTCTCGCCTACAAATGAGCCTCAGCACCCAGCCTTTAGGCTAAAATTGAGGACCCGACCGCTACGCGGCGTCCATGGGGGTGTTGCGCGGAATGCCAATTAAAAAATTCGGGCCCAGAATGTTTCCGTCTCACCGGGGCCCCTGTCTATGGGGCGTCAGGTTGAATAGGGGGGAATTGAGGAGTGCTCATAAATAATTTGAAGAGACCAGGTACGGTATATAGGCGACTTTTTAAAAAAGGGGCCAATGCAAAAAACGTCAAAGCAAAATATTGGGTTTTTTGGTGCTAATGGTAGGAAATGGGCGGTGACGCCAAAAAAATTGGACCGAGCATTTTCCAAACTTGCAAGTGTCGACGAAACATTACGGAAAACTGCTTTTCCAAAAACGTTGATTAAAACCCAAAACCTAATAAATATTTCATAAATACGATTTTGCCTGTTTCCCGACTTTTAAGAAGAAAAACCAAATTTTTCACAAGTCTAAATTTTTTATAAATAGCGGATGCGCTTTTAAATTGTTTTTTACCATTTCTAAGCAAAAAATTACACAAATTTTAATTCAAAAATTTAATTTTAGGTCGTAAAACCCTGTAGAACCTTCAGGATTAAGGGGGAAGGGGAAGGACCCAAAATGACCACATTTTCGACTTTTTCGAACATTTTTCTAACTTTTTTTTGAAAGGTTTTGTACTTTAAATATAGTTAGAACTTACCAAAACCAATGTGAAAAAACTTTATATTTGATTACAGGAAAAAAATTGGTCAGATCAATGCACATTACAACGGCATCCAAAACCAACTCACCTCGGCCTTTTTGGGGTTGAGCATCAAACTTGGCACGTTGAATTGGCACCTATTCCACCTTAGAAATATAAGATTTGAAGGCTTGAATTTACAATAATTGTGCTTAGTTCCGCGTAATAATATTTAAGGAATGTTTATGGGTATAACGTTATCGTGAACGCGTGGCAAGCGGCTAATTGCGGCGCACAACCCTAAAGACTTTTCCGATGATTACCCGATTGTCTGTAGACACCATTTGACTCAACCACCACTTATAGCTCACCTCAGGGCAATTTTGAACGCACCAATTTTGGTGTTTCTTTTCACAGGAAAGTCCTTTAATGACTTCCGGTTCCTCAGGGGGAATAGGCGTCTGAATCAAACTCCTTCCGGGCGTCAAAAAACTTGGGCCCCTTGCTTGGCTTCCTTTGTTTTTGGGGTGGCATTTAGGGCTGTTCCGGTAGATTGGGGCCAGTTTTTGGGGTTTCGGGGATTTTGAGTCTCGCTTTTCAGAGATCCCGAATCGTAAAATTGAGGTCATGCCGTGCAGGCCATAAAAGTGTAGGTTTACCGCTCGGACTTCTCAGTTAATCTCAGACACATTTCAGCTTTCGAAAGCCCCTCTCTCTCAAACTATCGCTCGCTCTCTCTATATTACTATTTTTTTCTTTCTCTCAAACTATCGCTCTCTCTCTCACTTTCACTCTCTCTCTCTCTCTCTCTCTCTCTCTCTCTCTCCCCCCCCCCCCGGTCTTCCTCGCTCTCTCGCTTTCTCTCCCTCGCGATCTCTTTTTTTTCTCTCTCTCTCTCTCTCACATTGTCTTGGTCCCTCTCTCGCTCTCTCTCGCTCTCTCTCTCGCTCTCTCTCTCGCTCTCTCTCTCGGTCTCCCTCGCTCTCTCGCTTTCTCTCCCTCTCGCTATCTCGTTTTCTCTCACTTTCTCTCACATTATCTTGGTCCCTCTCTCCTTCTCTCTCATTCTCTCTCACTCTCGCCCTTCTCTCTGTCCCGCGAAGCGCTTACTACATTTCGGTTGTAT